GCAATGTTATTTTTACTGTTTTTTTTCTGTTGCTCACTGTATTGCATATAAACTATATAACTCAAAGCACGTAGTATCTGCTGTGTCTTCTATAAAAATATTAAGTCTAATGGTGATTCAAAGTAAAGTTATTTTGTAAACTAGAATAAAAATACTCCTTAACATACAGAATTTTTATGGATGTATTACCGTCCATACACTACGTATTAGTAAGTGATTATGTCTCATGATCAATAGCGTATATAAAATGTGTATATAGCTATATATGCATGTAAATGTATATAAATATATATGTACGTAAATATAGTGTACACTGTAATTGTAATATATATTATTATATATAAGTAAAATACTTTATTAAAATACAAAATAGTTGTAAATATACTACACTTAGCATTATATTAGCTAATAGGTTTGGTGTGGTTATACCCGGGAGTTAGCTCTGGCTGCCAACGCCGTACGGGGCCCCGGCAGCGCTGGGGTCGGTCCCCGCGGTGGGACACAGCCCAGGCCGGGGGCTGCGGGCACTCACAGCCAACCTATGGCTGGGGGGGGGAATTCAAATACCCCCTCCCAAAAGCCCTCTGCCCAACCCCTGATACACCAAAGAAGCACACAGGTGAGAGAAGAAAAATTTAAAAGTTTATTAAACATTAAGAATAACAGACGGAAAAAAAAAAAAAAAGATTTGGGCTGAACAGCATACAGGATGCAATCCATTTCATGTCATACAGTTAATTTGATCTTATTTGTTAAACTTGTATTTAAACAGATGCTATCTCGTGGTGTTGCCAGAAATACGATGGTTGATCACTTAGAAATTTTAATACTCTTTTTTCTCACAGAAAAAAGTCAATAAAATAAAAATAAACTGCACATCTCTATTGTAAATTACATGCAAAAATGGTTTTAAAGCAGTAATTTGGGTTATTACAAACCCACAGAGGCAAGATATTCAAATGCTGGGGTCCTTCGGCACGGCTGAACTAATCCCGCTTGCTCTTGCAGGTACAGAGCACGGTTGGGCTGCGCCGCGTGGGCACAGCCGAGTAAGTCACGCACGACACCTCGCTCAGGCACGTTCCCTTCATTTTGAATTTCTTGCTTTTGTGGATTCAAGTCAGAACTGTATTTCCATGGCGCTGGGTTTAGTGACCTCAGCACCATTCAAAAAAGAAAAAAAAGAACCCCCCCCCCGCCACCTCTGCCACGGGCTTTCCCATGGAGAGCCCCAAGGTGCTCATAGTCAAAAATACCTCTCAAATTCAATCTATTTTCAGAGGGTATTCTTTTCCAAAAAGAAAAAAAAATCACTTCTAAGTTTCAGCAAAAAACAAAACAAAAGACAACAAGCATTTTACCAATGCTTATGGTTTAATAGAGGTCACTGAATTATTTAGACACGCTATTAATTATTCTGCAAATATATATATTTCTATTTTTATAAAATTACAATTTCATATACCTATGAGCTCCTTCATGAGCAACAAAGCCATCAGCAACGTGATGAGCCCAGCTAAGCTGTCCTTGGGAACTGAAAATAAGCTACACTGCCATTTATTTATTTTTTATTGTTACTTTGGGGAGACAACCTGGTTAGAGAACTTGGGTTTTTTCCAGGTTTTAGCACACATACTTTGCCTTTTTCTTTTTTTCCGCCCTCTTTTTTTCAGGGTGAGCTTTTCAGAGGAGCCGGGGTGCCTGACACCCACGGTAAGCGGTAAGTGCCTGAGTCCTGCAGGCTCCACTCAAAGTCCTCGCCGCCCCCAGAAAAGAGCTGGGTGTGCCCCAGCACGTCGCAGCGCCCCGAGCTGCGCGCTCGCCCCAGCGCCCTCCTGCCCCGCAGGATGGGGCGAGGAGGCATCGGAGCAGCTCTGGGGCTGCTGGGCAGAGGCGGCTGCTGGAAAACTCTGTGCTCCTCTGTGGCTGTGACAATAAATCTGTGATATCCAGCCTACAAAAACAACCACTCTGTCCCTGCCCGAAAGAAACAAAAGCATCATCTGCAATTGTTTTCCAAGCTGCCTTTTACATTTTAAAGAAAGTCGTGTGGTCACAATGCAACCCACGGCTGGCCCTCACTGGGTATGTACCAGCTGATCTCA